TTTTCAATGTGGTCTTTGAAGGTCAGCTGGTCATCAAAGATTACACCAAGATTTCTGACCAAAGTCGATGGGGTAATTGTAGAAGAACCTAGCTGGATGGTGACATCATGCTGTAGAGTTCAGAGGCAGGGAAGACGAGAAGCTCAGTCTTTGCCAGGTTGAGCTGTAGGTGATGATCTTTCATCCATGCCGATATGTCCGCCAGGCAGCCTGAGATCCGTGCAGCTACCGTTGGATCATCTGGTTGAAATGAGAGATAGAGCTGTGTGTCATCAGCATAGCAATGGTAGGAGAAACCATGTGCCTATAATGATGGGTCCCAGTGATTTAGTGTATATGGAGAAGAGGAGGGGTCCAAGAACGGATCCCTGAGGAACCCCATTGGCCAGTTGATGTGCTTTGGATACCTCTCCCCTCCAGGTAACCCTGAAAGACCTACCTGTGAGAAAGGATTCAAACCAGTGCAGTGGAGGTCCTGTGACGCCCAGTGAAGAAAGGCTGGACAGAAGGATCTGATGGTTGATGGTGTCGAAACCTGCAGACAGATCTAACTAATGATTTGAAATCAGCTTTCGCAATCAGCAGGGCTTCAGTGACCAACAGTCATGTAGTCTTAGTTAAGTGGCCATTTAAATCCTGACTGGTTAACATCCAGCTGGTCATTCTGAGAACACAGGTCTGTAACTTTCTTCTTCTGAAGTGTTTAGTGTGGGGGGTTTTTTTATCAGTGACCCCACCTGAGCCTGCTTGAAAGCGTTGGGGAAAGTGCCTGTGAGGTCAGATGTGTTGATGGTGTGTGAGTGCTGGTAGAAGTGTAGGAGAGACTGCTTGTGCTTGCAGAAGGTGTGAAGGGATTGGGTCTGGAGTAGGGTTGGGTATCGTTTGAATTTGATCGATTCCGATTCTGATTTTGCCTATGCTTAAAAAAAAATACCACAGCAAAAACAACTAGATTCATATAAATTTAAAGTATTAAAGTGTTAAAGACCAGTAAACAGTCAGTAATAAGATGGGAACAAACTAATTAATTTGCAATATCATAAATAAATACAACTGGACAAAATTTCAGGTACAGAAACTGTAATTAACAGTTTAAAAACACTGCATAGATTTATTTTCATAAATAAAATATAAATTAATCAATTAAAGTTATTAAATATATTCAGTCAAGATCAGTGCGAGCCGCAACCGGTCGCCAGTGCAAGGAGATAAAGAGAGGTGTGATATGGGCACTTTTGGAATCGTTGGAAACTAGTATAGAAATGATAAGGGCCTGGACAAGAAGTTGTGCAGCATGCTCCATTTAAAAGGGCCTGATGTTTCTGATGTGCAATGCAAACCTGCATGATTGAGCCGTCTTTTCAATGTGGTCTTTGAAGGTCAGCTGGTCATCAAAGATTACACCAAGATTTCTGACCAAAGTCGATGGGGTAATTGTAGAAGAACCTAGCTGGATGGTGACATCATGCTGTAGAGTTCAGAGGCAGGGAAGACGAGAAGCTCAGTCTTTGCCAGGTTGAGCTGTAGGTGATGATCTTTCATCCATGCCGATATGTCCGCCAGGCAGCCTGAGATCCGTGCAGCTACCGTTGGATCATCTGGTTGAAATGAGAGATAGAGCTGTGTGTCATCAGCATAGCAATGGTAGGAGAAACCATGTGCCTATAATGATGGGTCCCAGTGATTTAGTGTATATGGAGAAGAGGAGGGGTCCAAGAACGGATCCCTGAGGAACCCCATTGGCCAGTTGATGTGCTTTGGATACCTCTCCCCTCCAGGTAACCCTGAAAGACCTACCTGTGAGAAAGGATTCAAACCAGTGCAGTGGAGGTCCTGTGACGCCCAGTGAAGAAAGGCTGGACAGAAGGATCTGATGGTTGATGGTGTCGAAACCTGCAGACAGATCTAACTAATGATTTGAAATCAGCTTTCGCAATCAGCAGGGCTTCAGTGACCAACAGTCATGTAGTCTTAGTTAAGTGGCCATTTAAATCCTGACTGGTTAACATCCAGCTGGTCATTCTGAGAACACAGGTCTGTAACTTTCTTCTTCTGAAGTGTTTAGTGTGGGGGGTTTTTTTATCAGTGACCCCACCTGAGCCTGCTTGAAAGCGTTGGGGAAAGTGCCTGTGAGGTCAGATGTGTTGATGGTGTGTGAGTGCTGGTAGAAGTGTAGGAGAGACTGCTTGTGCTTGCAGAAGGTGTGAAGGGATTGGGTCTGGAGTAGGGTTGGGTATCGTTTGAATTTGATCGATTCCGATTCTGATTTTGCCTATGCTTAAAAAAAAATACCACAGCAAAAACAACTAGATTCATATAAATTTAAAGTATTAAAGTGTTAAAGACCAGTAAACAGTCAGTAATAAGATGGGAACAAACTAATTAATTTGCAATATCATAAATAAATACAACTGGACAAAATTTCAGGTACAGAAACTGTAATTAACAGTTTAAAAACACTGCATAGATTTATTTTCATAAATAAAATATAAATTAATCAATTAAAGTTATTAAATATATTCAGTCAAGATCAGTGAATGATTTTCTTTTGTTCTTTGATTAACATTAATGACAGGCAGCGCGTTTATTAGGCTGCTGTCTCTTAAATTAAATTATCTAAAAATACTGTTCATGTGTGTTTTCTTTCTCATCTGTTTACATTCACGTAAGACAAAAACGGCTGCGTTTATGATGATATACTGACGTAGTTTTCTGCATATTGGTCGACAAATATGAAAGTCCGTTTCGGCCCGGAACAACCTTTTCTACAGTGGAAATACACGGTACGGTTCGAGAACGGACACAAACCGGGAAACCGTACCGCGACCTCTGTTCTCTGTGCTTGCGCTTCGTGTGCGCTGCACGCAAACAGGGCGCAAGTTCTTTCCGTTCCTGCACTTAAATAGTTTTTAATCACATTAAAATGTCAGTCAAGATCAGTGAATGATTTTCTTTTGTTCTTTGATTAACATTAATGACAGGCAGCGCGTTTATTAGGCTGCTGTCTCTTAAATTAAATTATCTAAAAATACTGTTCATGTGTGTTTTCTTTCTCATCTGTTTACATTCACGTAAGACAAAAACGGCTGCGTTTATGATGATATACTGACGTAGTTTTCTGCATATTGGTCGACAAATATGAAAGTCCGTTTCGGCCCGGAACAACCTTTTCTACAGTGGAAATACACGGTACGGTTCGAGAACGGACACAAACCGGGAAACCGTACCGCGACCTCTGTTCTCTGTGCTTGCGCTTCGTGTGCGCTGCACGCAAACAGGGCGCAAGTTCTTTCCGTTCCTGCACTTAAATAGTTTTTAATCACATTAAAATGTGAATGCAGGAATCGTTAAGAATCAAAATGCACGCGTCTTATCGAATACCCGGTTCTTGGAAATTTGGAACCGGTTCTAAAATGGAACCGGTTTTCGATACCCAACCCTAGTCTGGAGGTGGTAGGATGAAGTTGAGATACAGAGCAGAAGTTTAGATACGTCCGCCTCTTTAAGGACAGAGAAGAAGGAGACAAGGTTGTTAGCTATGGATGTGGTTGATCTGAGTTCTTGGCTGTGTGAAGCTGAAATCTTGACATTTTGATGTACTTGTACCATTTTCTCTCAAATCAAAGCGACAAGTACCTGCTGGCCTGGAGGAGAGAGGGCAGATATTGTCTATACAGGATTGTTAATGTGGAGCATAAAGTGTCTGTGGCAGTATTCACATCTATTGATGAGAACTGGGTGGGAGAGGGAAACAAGGATGACACTACAGAGGAGAGGTGAGAAGGAGAAAGGGAACAGGTTTCGTCAGAACAAAACTGGCGGAACGGTTGGTAGAGCACAAAAAGAAGGAAAGATGAATGTAGCACTTGAGTGGCATGGATTACCTTTGTTTGGGTTTGAAACTTTCATGGTTATTGTCATTTCAGAGCTCGACGTACCCAGTCTCCCTTCACTTTCAGTATATGGAAGAGCAGCCAGCATATTCTTCAAAAATCCTCCTCCTGTGTCCTGCGGGTGTGTGTCCTATGGGTTTGGAGCAATATAGCAGAATATTATTTTGTGTGAGAAAATCTTCAGTAGAGAAAATTTCCAAGTCATTTTTCTAAAGTGAAAACCCCACTTGCTCCTCGCATTATATAAGGTCTCTAATCGTTTGTTTCCAGCTGTAAAAGGGGAATTCAGGAGTGAGCCGTCTACCCTCATGACCATTTATTTTCCACTAGCTTTTCCACTCTTTAAATTGCTGCCATGTCTACAAGATTCCAAATAAATGTTCTGTGGCCTATAATGTGAGCCAGTGTGCTGATGGGTGGCATCTTACACAAGGTGAAAATTAAAATCAGGACTGACTACCCCTTTGTTTTAGAAATGAATTGAAACCACAAACTAGAATAAGCTTTGGATCACTACCAGCGTTTAGTACAGTTGATTATTTCTATGAAATGACTGTCTGAAAAGAAAATGCTAGTGGAATATAGTCAGAGAACAGTCGTGTTGGTCAGCTGTGTAATACAAGAAGACACTTGGATACACCGAAACATACAATGGAGTCCAAAGGTAAGAAAACACTGGGCATTTTAAAGCAAGACATCCGTGCTTTAAGATTGAATTTAAAGATTCATAAGTTTAACGATTAATAATGATGTAAAATGAACATAACTTAAGAACATCTCATTTCTGGATATCATGAATCATCAGGTTTTGTTCATGCCAACTCTAGTGCTGCTGTCATTAAAGCAAAAGAGAGACACTAATTAGTAAGACATTCAGAAATTAATGTACTTTTTTTCAGTTTGATTGGTTGTAATTAAAATTCACATTTTCAAGAATGAAGCCGTTTCACCAGCGTTTTCAGACTTTTAGACCCCACTGCATTTTTTCCCCAAACTTCATACATTTTTTTAAATGGATTTGAACGTTGGTTGGCATTCTGGAGGAATCAAAGGCTTCAAATGATAGAATAAATTGTTTTATTTGGCAAATAAGAAAATGATGTAAAATGAACATAACTTAAGAACATCTCATTTCTGGATATCATGAATCATCAGGTTTTGTTCATGCCAACTCTAGTGCTGCTGTCATTAAAGCAAAAGAGAGACACTAAATAGTAAGACATTCAGAAATTAATGTACTTTTTTTCAGTTTGATTGGTTGTAATTAAAATTCACATTTTCAAGAATGAAGCCGTTTCACCAGCGTTTTCAGACTTTTAGACCCCACTGCATTTTTTCCCCAAACTTCATACATTTTTTTAAATGGATTTGAACGTTGGTTGGCATTCTGGAGGAATCAAAGGCTTCAAATGATAGAATAAATTGTTTTATTTGGCAAATAAGAAATGTATTTACAACGCACACAAGTAAAAACCCTGATATTAAAACATTTGGCAATGTGTATGTATGAACTGACATTAATATGTGCCCAAGTGAGTGATGTTCCACAGTACTGTGGTGAACTTTAACCCTGATCCCGTGGTTTCCTCGATGCGACAGCTATCCTGAGATGAGTGATGTCAGCGCCTTCTCTTCCAATCAGGAGACAAGCATGAGAGGATGATGCTGTGGATCTAGTCTGAGCTAATGTTCTGGATATAATTTGTGCTCTAGGATTATGTCAGGTCCTCAGAAGCGCACTCGTACCCTCCAAGAGTACGTGGTCAGCACCTTGTTCTTCTTCCTCACGATGCAGGTGTATGTGCCCTCATTGATGGCATTTGCCACAATAGTGATGTGGTCGTCTTTCAGGGAAATGTAGCCGGGATGAGAGAAGTCCAGAAGTTCACCATCTTTATACCAACTTTCAATGTAATAGAATACTTTAGGTTAGGACAATCGTAACAAACACATATCTCACATATGCTTCAAAACATTTTCCCTTTGAAAAAACATCCAGATTCCAAACTAATCTTGCAAATCATCAGAATTAACTTCACATACAGGGCCTGTAAAAAGACTTCTTCATGTTTGTTTTACAGCATTGAGTCTCAACGGAATTAAGTGATTGACAGAAAATGACTCCTGGAGGCACACCAATAGTGTACATTTTCAACTCGTGATCGTGTTAGTAGAGACTCCAAGACCTGAAATGGATTGGTCATATAAGGGAGACATCCAAAATGTGTACTGTTGGAGTGCCTCCAGAACTGGGCTGGAAAAAGTGATCTGAAAGATTTACAAAGACCAGTCCAAAATAACAAATTTCATAAGAATTAAACTCTGCGGTACAGTGGACCTACAGAGACCCAGAGTTGCCCAAACCTGATTTAAACATGCAGGAACGCTTCTCACAATAATAATTAAAAAATTCTTAAGATTCACTACAGGTGCATCCACAGATGAATTTAATCTTGTTCTAATGTTAATGAATTTGGATTATTCTAAATGAGAGACCGCATGTTTGGGTTAAGTAATTTGCATGAAAAATATGGCCAGACCAGACAGGTCTCCCTATCAGACAGGAGTGTCCAATCCTGCTTCTGGGGCCAAACGTCCCGCAGAGTTTAGCTCCAGCCAGCTCCAACACACTTCCCTGGACATTTCTAGTGAGTCTGAAGACCTTGATTATCTGCTTCAGGTGTGTTTGTTCAGTGGCTCTCCAGGAACACGTTTGGACACTGCACACTGTTATAAGGGTTTTCCGTACCACCTCACCTCTCCTAGGAATATATTTGTCCCAAATTATTGTTAATGTACATAATCACTTCACCCTATGCTGGAGGATCATGCATTGTGCATTGTCAAGTAAAATGTGTCTTTCTGTGGCTTGAATAAAGTCTGTATGCGTCATATAGAGAGCTATGATAATATATATTACTCTTTCTCTGTTCGTTTGCCAGACCGGTCTTTTTTTTCTTCTTTCAAACAACGAACTTTAAACTCATCAATACCCCTTTGTTCATTCTTGAAGTGAACCTTTGCTTGTTTGGTGCATGGATTAATTGTTCTGGACTGCTTTCTTGAACTGAATGCGATGTGTGAGATACCTGTGCATTGTCCTAGCTGTGGCACGGCTCTGCGCAGCGCTTTTTGTCTGGTGTGCAACCACCTTAATGGGGTGAATATTTCTGTCAAAAACACCAAGTGAAATCCTCTGTGCTTCAATGTTGTAGAACAATAAAACATGAAAACTACTAAGGGGCAAATACTTTTTATAGGCACTGTAGTAAACTGCTTTTCAGAATCAGCATGGGTATGCAAACCAGTCAAAGTTACTATAATAATATGTGTGTAGAAAAGCAAGAACTCACTCGATTTTGCCTTTCTTGGCTGCTATCTTCTTACCACAGCGGAAGGTGAGGTTCTTTCCCTCCACAACAAACTTGTGTTTTGTCCGTGGGGGAGTTGGGGTTGGCGGAGCAGTGGGAAATGGGAATTCTGTTTGAAAAATAAAATGAGATGAGATTGTACAACTGATTATTTGTCCAGAACATAATGGTAACTAGCAGTAAAATAAACTAGCATTACTCCTGTTGTTTGAAAGTCTTTCTAACTGTTCTCTTGTTCACTCCTAGTGTTGCAGTTGACCTCCCTCACCCCAACCATCTCTATTCATAGACCTACTACATTTTTGGAGTGGCAGCATCGCTGAAGTCAGAACATGATGCCAGTGTTATGTACTGTAGGCTGAGGAATCAGACAATTCTCCACTTTTTGTGTGCATTGTTGTAGGTAATCTTATTTAGACTATATATATTTATTTCAATTCTTAAATTGGATGATTAGCTTGCACTAAGTCATATATGACTGCACCATAAGGACTGCCCTAATTTCGCTGTATTGGATAGTGACAATAAAGAATCTTGAAAATCTCTGTGCATCTAAAACACCAAAGCCCACATCACATTTGAATTTTCGTATTCTGTCAGGTGAAAGGATAAGGGTCTACAAATTAAATAGCACACATGCCCACTTGTGATCATGAATGCTTGTATGTGGAGTGTCAACTCATGATCATGTTAGTAGAGACTCCAAGACCTGAAATGGATTGGTCATATAAGGGAGACATCCAAAATGTGTACTGTTGGTGTGCCTCCAGAACTTGCCTGAAAAAAGTTATCTGAAATAATTACAAAGATAAAGTCCAAAATAACCAATTTCATAGGAATGAAACTCTGCAGTACAGTGGACCTAGAGGGACCAAGAGTTGCCCAAACCTGATTTAAACATGCAGTATTGTATGTGGAGTTTGACTGCGCAGTCATAGTATGCATGCATCAAGCATATCCATCCGTGCTCACGGTGAATGGATGGAGTATACGTTAAAAGGCAGTGTTCAAAAAAAAATCAGAACAGAGAAAATTAAGTATACCTGGTTGTTAAAACTGTAAGACTTACTGAAACCCGTCTCTCTGGGAAACTAATGTCATAATCTACAATCTTGATTCGGGTGCAGCTGGGAACTTTATGGGTCTTGCACTTGCCAAGCAGCTTAACGCTTCATTAAAGCTACCTCTGACTATAACTTGTTGGATGGGATGCCCCTGGGATCTGGAATTAACTGACCGGAGTCTCCCTTCATCCTTGGATGACATATTCCACAGATTAATTGGTCCTCTTGATCTGGGACTAGATGGAGGTCTGACTGTTATGTTTCTTGTCTGTTACTCTACCATCCTCTCAAACTACTGCCTGTTATCCCCGAAGCACTACTGACTCTTCCAAGTTGCCACCTTTCTCTGCAGGGTTGCTGGCCTCTTCCAAGGCAGTGCAGTGACTCTTCCACCCAACAGACAATGGGTTGCCAAGCCTGCTTGTGGGGGCTACCATCCTGCAGGGTTTAGCTCAAACCCTAATCAAACACACCTTAACTATCTAACCAATGTGTTCAGGACTACTTAAAAATATAAGGCTAGTGTGTTAGAAAAGGATTGGAACTAAAGTCTACAGAAAGATATATTATAGGCCCTACGACTGTGCCTTTAAGTTGCTTGGAACGTGTCCTACACAAATTAGTCTTTTTCACTTCGTGCTCCAGAGAGAACTGCCATGGAGAACTGCCATCAATGAGGTCCTTAGCAGTGGGTTCAATCGTCCCTTAACATCTCCAGCTGGGGATGGTTACTTTTTTTATAGCAAAGAAGTATGATGGTCTCATCCCCACCATTAAATTAACAGAGGCTCAACTGAATCAAGATAAAGAACCATTACTGCTTTTGAACTTCTTCAGAGTGCAACCATCTTTACCAAACTGGTTCTCTACAACAGTGGTTCCCAACCCTGGTCCTGGAGGCACCCCAACACTGCACGTTTTACATGTCTCCTTAATCAAACACACCTGATTCAGGTCATCAGCTCATTAGTAGAGACTACAAGACCTGAAATTGGTGTGTCAGAGGTTGCGTTTACACTTGGCATTAACATGCGACCTGTATCCGGATGTTGTCCACATACACATTGAAAAGACAAGTGTAAACGTGCTTCTGATCGGAATGTTATCCGATCAGCACGTCCTGGTCCAGAGGTAGTCAAGGACGCATTGTGATCGGATCTCAGTGTAATGTAAACGCAATCCAGCCATCGTGTCTGCATTCGCAGGTCGACATCACCCAAAACGCAGCCCCCTCTCTCCCGATCTGTCGGAAGAACAGTTCGCTAGTGAGACTCGTACATTTATTTTGATTTGTAAAATGTCCCGCTACCACTTCGGGTTGACTTTGCACCGCAGACTTATTTAAATATTGTGTGGGAAATACAGATCCAATCGGTTATCCAGATCGAGAAGTCAGCTGATATTGCCAAGTGTAAATGCGCCGTGTCCTGATTGACTGATGATCCGATCTGCTTGATCAGATCACTGTGATTGCATGTTAATGCCAAGTGTAAACGCAGCCAGAGAAAGGAGACATGCAAAATGTGCAGTGTTCGGGTGCCTCCATGACCAGGGTTGGGAACCACTGCTCTACAACACCTTGTGCCTTCACAAGACTGCCTTCAACATTCCTGCTGGCCATTATGAATTCCAAGTAATGCCATTCAGGCTGGTTAGTGCCTCGGCCACAACTCTGCTCTGTAGCATCATTGAAAAACCCCTTGCCAATCTAGCTACGAAGATCTCTAGGCAGCTACTATGACTGAGAAGGCTCACTGGGCATTTAAACAGCTAAAGCACAAACTCAACTGCACACCCATACTGAACTTCCCAGATCCTCAGTTGCCCTACATGCACTATAAAGATGCCTCAGACTTCAGGGTGTGGAGCTGATTTGTCTCTTATCTCAGAGTTGGCACATGAAGAATGAAGACAGGCATATTTTCTGACAGAGAGTCACAGTTAACTTCCCTATTTTGAATTGAACAGTCACCTTCAACCTAATGGTCAAACAGAGAGGGTTAACCAGTAGAAGACCCTTAGATGCTTGGCCTGTAACAATCAGACTTCTTGAAGCTCATGTCTGATTTGGGTAGAGTTCACTCACAGCACCTTGTTCAATTCCACTGTAGGGTATTTACCCCTTTGAATGCCTGTTTGTGTTCCCCCTATTTCCGGAGCAGGATTCTGAGGTCTTTGTACCATCTGCAGTGCAACTGGTCCAGAGGTGGCAACTTGCCTGGTGGAGTGCAATTACAGTCCTACTGTATATAGATACACTTAACAGCAACAGGAAGAGGTTATTCAGCACTCAGTCCTGCGCCACTACTCTGTCCAGATCAATATGCATTCATCCCATCTCTCACATCATGTATCTTGTTCCTCTGTCTCCAATCTCTACCCCATGTGCCACACATCATCAGCAGTCAACCAACATACACTGTTCATTGGCTGCTGGGCTTCCGACTGCTTGATGGATAAGCCCAGTATCTCTTCCACTGCTGCTACCCAAACTGTGGTTCAAAGAACATCAGGATCCATTCCAAGGAGAGGGGCTCCCGTAAGACTTCTGCCTGAACTGACCTGTCCTGCTACTAGATAACATTATATCTGTGACGAGTGGGGGCGGGGGTGGGGCCGAGAGCCGTGGGAACAGAGCGAGGTCGGTGGAGTAATTGATAATGAGCGACACCTGCACCACTCACCGGTCTCGAGTCCCATGGAGGAGCTCCGGAAGGAAAAAAGGAGAAGTTACGACAGTGAAAGATGAGAGAGGACCAGGCTTGGATTTTATTTTGTGTGTGGCAGTCGTCCGCGAGGGGCTGCCACTTTACTTTTGTTTTGTGTTTGTTTATTTTATTAAAGTTTTTAAATGTTCGCCGGTTCCCGCCTCCTTCCCGAACTATGAACGTTGTTACACTGGCCAGGCCTGGTCCTCTCTCGTCTTTCACTGTCGTCACTGTCGTAACTCCTCCTTTTATCCTTCCGGAGCTCCTCCATGGGACTCGAGACCAGTGAGTGGTGCAGGTGTCGCTCATTATCAATTACTCCACCGGCCTCGCTCCGTTCCCACGGCTCTCGGCCCCGCCCCCACTCGTCACAATATTCTTGGGTTTTTCTAGTTTGCCAATCAAAATGATTGTTTTCACTCTTTATCTATTCATGTTAAGCCTATTCAATACGCTAGGTCTGTTAGACTGTTAGGTCTTGAGCCTTCCTTGTTTGTTAACTAGCTTCTGTGAAAGTTTAGTATTCTTTGTTGAATCTTTAAGCCATTTTTGTATCTTTTGAATGAACACCACAGTAAAGGCATTCAAGATATGTTCAGTTTATACTTAATGTGCACTTACTACTATTCCCAGTAGCTCAGCGGTTGAGCAAAACCCTGTCTGGAAGGCTAAGGTTTGATTCCTACCTAGACCACATGTCACAATAACTTGTTCCACACCACTGTTCCTTTTGTTAACTTGTTTGTTAAAAATATCAACATCTCAGCCTAGTATATAATTTTAGACCCACATTCAGCACACATTTTGCAGAGATTTCTGTAACATTATTTGAATAAATTTTTGATACCTGTCTATTATTGTGGTATAATTAAAAAAAACACATCTGTGGTTATTTGTTGTACATATATTTCAGATGGTCTCTTCCTGTCTAAGCAGGGAATTCTTGGCCAGAATAATCTGCAATGAGGGCCACACTTTGTATTGTTTACATCTGATGGGTCTCATGATTTTTCTATGGACAATTACTTTTTTGTTTTGTGGAATAACAGGACTTACCATAACAGAAGTCACAGCTGGAAGGACAGTGTTTCTGCATGAGTATCCTCTTGCTGTCACAATAACCCTTTCTTGCCCAAGCAGGACAGATAAATAATCGATCCAAACATCCTGAAGTGGTATGGATAGGACAACAAGAAATAAGAAGGTGTCATGTAATTGTAGAAAGGCAACGGGAAGACAAAAGTAATCCAGTTTGTATAGTTATTTTGATGTTTATTCGTGCTTATGAGTAAAATACCATAGAGTCGATGTAAGCCCCAAACCTCATCTTGAGTAATGAGTTTGCGGCCTGTCAATGTGGCGTTGAGGTGCATTAAAGCCTTGCGATTCTGGGAATGCATCAAACCCAGTACATGACCAATCTCATGAGCAGCCACGTGAACTAGATCTGTCAGCCACACTCCTGAATACAACAATCACAGACAGAACACAGTCAGGTCAAATCTACTTCTTCAAATCGGCAGGATTCTGTATAAACAGAACGATTCTGAATAGACAGCTAAACAAAATAACAAGCAGTTTACTATAGGTTTTGATCAAATGTTATTTGCTGCAGTCTTTAAAAAAATACATTTGAAGAAATATATTTTTCATTGTTTGACTGAATGATTCACCTCACTTGTTTCAGTACTGGATGAATCAGCATTTTTGAATTCATTTCTTGAATGAATGATTCAATGACAAATGCATTTTTAGCAGTCACTTGTCGCCACCTACTGGCATAATGTAATCAATGCAATCTTTATTTAACACTGTTACGTTCAAAAGCTGATTTATCGCTACTGTACTCTACTGTAGACATCAGTGTTTATATCCTAAGTAAACTTTTTTCTAATGCTTCTGTGATCATTTTAATTTTGTGACAGAAATATCTGTGTGGTTGTTTGTGAAGTTGTTTCATACAACTGCTCTTTTTGGATTTGAATGTTGCAGTGTGATTGTACTTGTCAAAGCTTTAATAGACATTATCAAAATATGATGTAATATTTATATAAAAAAGAATATTCTCATTTCATATTAGTTCAGATTGTAAACAAGGCACATGCAGGTTCAGTATGGGTTTGATATGATCTGTCTGGTCAGTTCAACGGTGTCTGTATATTTCTTTTGGGATAATGAACATTTCTTAAAACTGTCACAGCCAGGAAGCGACAATTTCTGGACCGCTTCTACAGCAAGTAAACAATCAGACTCCAATTTTCTCAATTCTCACTCAATGGGGGAAAGAGCAACGCGTGCCTTTATTCCAGCTGAAGCGCATGTTTCCCAGAATCCAGTACTCGTCATCATCAAAGTGGATCTCTCCGGTCTGAGGGAAGAAGGCGTGGGCTAGTTCTCCGGTGATGCCGTCGAAACAGTGGTGCAGGTAGGACTGCAGACAGTCTGTGTGGTTTACAGAGTAAAAGCCTGACGAAAACAAAAATGTAACAATGACTAACCATATGACACATCATTGCAGAAACTAACTAGCTAGTCAGGACCATCTCCCGAAAGCTCAGGAACATTGTCGCACATTGTAACAATGTAACTTGTGACCAGAGTTGGCTAATTATGCTTTTGGGAAACGCACCCCAGATCGGATTTGAAAAGAACTTTTTCCCAGAAACACAAAACCACAAACTTGCCTCATTGTGTGTTACTTTGTGACTTTAAATTCCTCTGTACTGCAACAAACAAACAAATGTATTTGATGTACCGATTTTGATGTCGGCCTCTTGATCAGATGGCACCTCACGAAAACTGAAGGGCGAGACATCGCTCCACATAGAGAAGGCCTTGGCTATGCCTCTCCTTGTGTCACTGGCATTCAAAAGATTCCGTGGAAATGACAGCAGTCTGCACAATTACACAAAGCACCCATTAAAATGTGGACAAGTAAACAAGTGAGCCTGGTTTCTCCAAAAGTTTTTTCTCCATTTCTGTCACCGATGGAGTTTTGTTTCCTTGCCACTGTCGCCTTTGGCTTGTTTAGTTGGAGACACTTCACTGATTGCACAGACACTATTGGAGGAGATCATCAATGAACTGACTTTAGCTGAAAAATGACTCTTTGTTATTGTCTTCTTGCATCATTGACAAACTATTTACCTGTTTGACACTGTAAAGCTGCTTTAACACAATCAGTATTGTATAAAGCAATGTACAAATAACGTTGACTTGACTTAAACAAAAAATTGCATTTATTCCCTGAGGATAAATTATTCTGTCATCATCCGCTCATGTTGTTCTAAACTTGTATGACTTACCCAGCCACTATCGAGTATAAAACAAAGTTTTATACCATATAAAGTTTGACAGACCAGGATATGTAAGACGCCAATGACAAATGAATGACATAAATATACTGTATGACCAGAGAGAAACAAATTCTGTACTCATTGTCCATTGGATACACGCATTTGAAACCCTAGAGCTTCCCGACACGTGCAAACATGGGGAAAAAAATTCAATAGGTTATGAAATTTTAACAAAGCAGAAGCTGTGCAGGACTTTCAAACAGAGGGCTGTGATATCGTACAAATGCACAAAAATATAAAAGGATTCTTACTTGTAAGTCAGCTTGAATTTGTCCCACTTCAGTTTCTCTGGAGTGAGCGTGTAGCGTTTGTTTCGGGAAAGGTGAAGCACATGGGAGCGGGCGTCTTTATGAATTCCAATGATTAAAACACCAGACATGAGAGCTTCTTCCTTGGACAAAAAAATCTCAGATTAGATTAGATTGATCTGTGAGCAGGATTTTCCATGAAGGTCTGTGCCACGCTTGCTCCTACAAGAGCGATAAGTCCACTTGTGAGGTGCTTTAAAGTGTGATTTGCTCGAATAAATGGCTTGTTGAGCCAGGAACACATCTTGTATTGATTAGTCAGGAGTGAAAAGAGTGCAGACAGAGAGGAAAGTTCAGTTCAGTTATTAAGTCAGACTTGTTGGGCTTCTCTTCTCATCTTTCAGCCAGACTACTCGACTGTTATTTTATGCTCTTTACAGAACAGTGCATGCAAAGCACTGCAATATATTTACATTCATGCATACAGCAGCACATTAATAGTGCTAAGTATTCAAAATTTTAATTTAAAACGTCAAACTGAAACACCTTATAATGCACAAAAAAAGTATTATCTGGTGTGTAAATAAACTTTGACATTCATATTTGCTCTAGAGTGGCACTTATTTATTCTGGGAGTTTATTATCTGTGATTTTTCTTGTGAAAGAATTTGATCTCTGCTGTATTACTGAGTAGAAGAACTAAATTTTTGGTCTAGAGTGTGCAACCACAGCCCACACATTCACACAGCAAACACAGATGCTATCAACTTTCTGATGCACTCTACTATATGAGTGATCGTCCTAGAAAACCATCACAGACAAACAGCCATTAATATAACTTTAAAGACCCTATGACATTGTTTCCTCTGTTGACGTAATTCATCTGTATGCAAGATCAAGGTTTTTGGTCCGTTTAGCAGAAAGTGAGACTATAGTATTTGTCTCAAAGCTAATAGCCTCAAAAATCCCGTTTTAATTTCATAAGAATGTGCACTGTAATGAATTGGCAGGAAGATGCAAGTCTATGGAAAAAAAAAAAGAAAGAAAACATTTAAATGTCCTTTACTAGCCATAAAAAAAATATATATAGCCTGATTTTTATATTGTAATTCCAGAAGGTATTTGGCCTGAATTTGAACTCAGACGTTGATGTTGAGAGCGCTCTCTGGGTTTCATAAAGCTGTCCAAATTTTTTCACTTCGCTGGTAGTCTGACCTTAAACTAGTGTCTGAAACAGACACATTAAGCAGACATTCACAGACACATACACAAACACAGCAGAGAGCCAAGGAGTCTCTGGGTTAGAAATTGACAGTGTTCAATCCTTTTTGCTTCACACAGAGCCTACAGTCTTCAAACTGGATGACTGCATGGACTAACATGGAGGATTTTCTATACAGGCTGTAATGTCCATTGCTGAATTTGATCTCAGTCTTCTGGAAAGAGTCATGTGTTGATAGAGTGCCAGAGTCTGAGTGTTTCAAAAGGTAAAAAGCGAGCAGACGCCACTTGCAAGCGCTGATAGGAGCAGTAAAGTCAAAATAGCTATAATTAGAGGAGATGGAGACTATTTTAGTCAGATGGGGCAGAGGGGACATTCCTGAACTGACTAGCTCTTAGACTAGTCTTTATATCACATGCATTTACAAGCAGACACGTTTTTTTAAGCTGCACTCTTGGCAAGCAGGACCTCCATTCTTTTTGAATGGAAAATAAATGAAAATGGAAATACATATTTCAGGTCCAAGATAAGTTGACGGAGTGGAACTCCCAAATGACAATGTTTTGGGGCGATCAGCTTGGTGCCTAGTTTAATCATACAATATGTGTTCAGCTACCCTCAAACTCGTGATGTAAAGGAGTTTTGAGACTTGAGTAGGGTCTCTTTGCAGGTTTCTTGAGTTAATGCAACTATATGCCAAAGCAGACGGTCACAGGACTATCTAAAGATTTATTCAGAGATCCCCAGATCCCCATGAACCAAGCAGAAACACAAAGGGTTGGACGTAACGGGACATGAGTGCATTTCAAGAATACATGGACGAGTTATCAAAAATACATGGGCATTACTGCTAGGTAGTACTCTAATAATACATATGAGTCTTCATAAACTGTGTGTCCTGCTCTTAGAGAGCAGATGATGAACAGAGTCATCAAGAGCAATAAGAAATTTGATCAATGCCATTTTAAAGGCATCACTAAATATATACAAAATACGTTTTTTTTTTAGTGGGACATGATTTGGAGCCACATTATTTGCCCAAGTCTGAGGTTTGGTGTTGGTTGCCAATGTCAATGTCAACAAGAATTTCATGCAGCTTTCTGCAGCTGGCACATTCACCGCATCCACTCCAGTCACTTGCAGTTGGTACTTCAGTGGGTTTCCGAGACAAAAGAACATGGAGGCTTAGTGCCCAAGCACCCACTGGATAAGCCACAGAGCTCTGCTGGTATTTCATCCACTGAAAAACCCTCAGTCCAGCTGCAATCTGGATGGTTGCAACAATCTGCTAATTTTCTCATTTAGCCTTTCTCTGTTTGACTGGTGATAACACCTTGAAGTTAGACAAAGATTTACATTTAGCATCTTACAAAAAGTCTACTACACTTGGGATAGAAACCTAATGGTTTATGGAGAATAATGGTGAGGTCTGTGGTGGCAAAGAGAGCCTTGTTGTTTTGGTCTGCGATGAAATCGAATGAAACACAGAAATGTTTGACTACAGACCAACATTTTTCATATATATATAGTGTCTAATGATCAGTGTTGAGGGTAACGCAAGTTACATAATCAGATTACTTTTTTCAAGTAACTAGTAATGTAATGCATTACTTTACATTTACAACAAAATATTAATAATATTAATAATAATAAAATAATATATAAAAGTTACTGAATTCCTTGTATGGCCACTTCAACTCGTCTGCAACGCTGCACAGGACTTGCTCGAGAACGATTTGTCATTTTGTTTTTAGACCACGAAATCAACAATGTCTCCAAAGAAGAGTGTTCCCAAAGAGCCCAGCGGTAGTGAACACAGTGGATGCAGTTTGTTTCTCCGGAGCAGCAACAGAGTTACACAAGTGTGTTTGTTTGTTCCCGGCATTTCAGTGACGAATGCTTGAGAAACAAATAACAATAAAGTCAATAAAGTTTTTGTTCCTGCTTTATTGATGTCGATGTCACAGCTTGCAGACGATCGCTACGTGACAGCTTTAGCTCCGCCCACGACACGCCTCCAGGAGCCCGACGGTTTTCAGAGAGGAGCGTAAAGCTGTCTGTCTTTTATAAATCTGATCAAACTAAAGACTCTTCAGAGATATGAAGGTCAAGTACTGCTCTGTAGGTACTCAAGATTAACATGAGACCTTTAAAGGTAATTTACCGTACACTGAATTACCGTACCGTACACATTGTATTTTCTTAGAATGCTCATTCAGGATATCAGGATTTATACAAGCACAACTTTGTTAATCACATCCATGCCATGCTGTTAGATTCAGGAACAGAAAAAGGATAAATCTCTCTTCTGGAAGGAATGGTCTGTAGGTAGAAGGTTGATCCAAGTGTCTTGGGTTTGGCTGCTTTCCTCTTCATATTTTTGGTACGCTCGAAGAATGATAACTCTGTTCTCTGTAGCACTACACTGCATAGCAAGACATGACAAGACACTGTGACCTACATTCAGTCTCCAGCTCCTTCCAGCATTCAACCGCTCACAAGAATCACAGTTCAAGGTGCTTTTAATAGAGGTGTCGGGACACAGAACCGTATCCGTCAATGGCTGACCTCAGCACAAACAATCAAATGATCTGTTCTTACAAATACATAACGTAATACACAAGAGAGTGACGTGCCAGCAGGCAAGCTCAACTTACAAGGCATTATTTAATCCTGTAATTAGTTCTGCCTTGTTAAAGCCTCTTTCCTAAGCCAAAGCCATAATTCAGAGCCTGATCGATGGTCACGCTCCTTCCATGACAAAGACAAACTAGCATCTTCCCAGCTACCTTTGTGGTGACCAAACGATCGCTTTCCAAAGCTGCGGTTCGTATTGTTCATACAGTTCGGAAGAGCTTCAGCTTCTCTTATTTATTCTTCCATTGCGTCTTCCACAGCTTTCTTAACTGTTGCTCATGTTAAGAATGTCATGAGCTGCCACTGCGGACTGTAAATTATGTAACACTGCTAGATCCAGAAAAGTCTTCTGTGAAATAGAAAGGTCTGAGATGTGGACTGGATAGATTTACTGAGACCGTGACCACTCCAGTCCATCAGTTCACATCTGGAGAAGACAAAAGCTGAAACGAATCAGTCTATAATCCATAATAACACTTCCTCCAGTGAAAAAGTGCATCTGCTGTTGTCTCTCACATCAAAATCCAGCCACATATTTGTTTAGAGCTTGATCTGTGCAGATTTCTCTCCTGATTCAGACTAGTTTTTCACTAGAGGAAGCATTATTATGAATAAAGAACTCCTGTTTTAGCCAGAAGCAAGAGTCTGAAGGAAAACATGTTTCTTACAAACAAACAGCATTTCGCTTCACAAGACGTTAAACGACTCTCTTTCTCACGGCACCCATTCACTAAAGAGGATCCATTGGTGAGCATGTGATGCTAAATTTCTCCAAATCCATTTTGGCGAAGAAACTAACTCACCTACATCTCGTATGGCCTGGCTGAGTGCGAGTACGCTTTCAGTAATGCTTCTGTCTTGGGTGAACTATTAAGTGCACTAAATGACTGCAGAATTCCTGCATACGTCACCAGAGAGCTGCTGTCCTCAGTAGAACATCCAGTTATGACATTTTGATTAAATATTTAGTAAAAAGATTTTTAAAAATGCAGCAATAAGATCTATAACATGCATTTAGTTCAGCTTTTATTTCATGCCGACTAGTGAAATGTGTTTACAGCTCTGGTGAATGGCTCAAAATTCTTCCAGGACGACATGTGCCTCCAAGCACCATGCCACTGTGATGCATGGGGATGCTAAAGGACAGCTCTCTCCAGGCATTACAGACCTCCTCCTTGCAGGTGGCATTAGCGGGAGTGCACTAGTACTCGATCTAGGGAGAGTTTTATTGGACAAAACTTTAGATATGCCTGTGAGTGGAAGAGGAGTTGTTCTGTTTCTTGGAAGAGAAGAGAGAGCAACAACAGTAGCCTATATTTTGAAATATTGTTAAGTGTTTTTCTTAGGGGACACTTGCATAGATTCAAAGTGAAGAAAACGAAAAGCCACAAAACACCAAAAATGCATTTTTGGAGGCGCCAATTGGTGCGTCCTCGAAAGTTTCATAATGTACAAGTAGAAGAGAAAAACAGAAAGAACCCGCAGCACGGAACGCAAACACGTACAGTACGAATGAAATGCAGATGAAGCGTCCTCCCTGCGAAACTCTGGCTCTGGTATCAGCCAGCGGTCGATCCTGGCCCGCGTCTGCTCGGTTTTGTATTTGAGGTTGAGGTTAGTGTGCTGAATCGGACGCGCCGGCCAGACAGACGAGCAGCGCGTTTTAAAGCAGCTCCCCGCGTTGCGCTTTAGTGAACGCCAGGACGCGTCCGTGTTGAGCGACCCTTCACGACTTTAGGTGTTTTATAACTCGAGCGCGTCTAGAGTTATGCAAGGGAAAAGAGCAGCCGAAATAATCGTCCTGATGAAAACCTAATGGCATACCTCAAATCTCCAGGCAGGCAAAGCCGTGACTTCATGCATCCAGAGCCCGAACCCCGCGACCGCGAGCAGAAGAAGCCCTGCGAGGTTCCCTTCTCTCCGCAGACTGCCGCAAACTGCGCGCACCATCTCTGCGACGCCGCCGTCCAAATAACTGCCCTTAGCAAAGACGTGTCAAACCTCACCATGTATTTATTTCCCGTGGGTTGTTTGGCTTGCCATTGGGAGCTCGACAGATGCGCTGAGAGTCCGTGCGTTCCTCAGTGCGCCAGACCGGAGCTCCTCTGCTGCACACATTGTAATGCGATCAATGCAGCTTTTACCACACTTGCTGTCTCATTGTCATTTTTGGAGGATTAATCATCTTTCAAAAAACATCTGCTTTTGATTTTGCCTCCTGAACGCATCACGCTTGCATTTAAAATAAAAGTAGCCCAACCTACCACAAACTGCTGAGCTCTGCATTGGCTTAATCTCAACCAAAAATGTTGTCTTTTTAAACCTTTAAACAATAGGACTTTAAATAGGACTTTTAACATTTACATACAACATACAATCATCTATAGAGCGCATCTGAGTCACCAGAAAGGTTGCCATGCCATGGAAGAATTGCTTTCTCCAAAGCATCTTTCAGTGAGCAGATCTTACAATAACCATGCTATCATTCATGTGAGGAACATTTGAACCGTCTGAAGAGGATGTTAACTACTGGCGAACAATCGAAATCATTGATAACAGACATTTCCTTAAAAGTGTATCAAACATATTCTTCCAGTCATGGATATTGCATTGAATCAGATATCATTCTGAAAATTACTTTACCTGTCAAGAGAGACGCCTCGGTGATGGGGAACATTGTAGTATGTGCAATGAGTATTTATTTTATATACAGGTGCATCTCAATAAATTAGAATGTCGTGGTGAGATGCACCTGTAGGTCTGTGCTTGAGATCTAGAATAGAGCAAATCCAAAGTTTTCTTGGTATCGTTGTTCATGTGTTTTTGTATTCAGCACAACACTCTCTCCCCAGCCGATTGTCATAAATGTGGCGAATGAGCGGAAAAAGACATATGATTGAAACAGAACAACAATAGCCTACAGTAACCTGGAAAAACAGCCAAAAGATCAGCAAGCACAACACACATGACCCCAATACAGTGAGGAGACAATCATCCGAAAGAGCTGAAAGAGTCATGAAAGAGCAACACTAAACCGCTAATTTGCTCTTTTCAACTCATATTATTCAGGTTATCGTTTTCAGGAGCTTTATCAGTGATATTGCTAAAATCATCATTGTTATAATGATTTTATTTTCATCTACTATGGGTGACAAAACAGGCTCGCCAAGTAGCTTCCTCTCAAACGGTTACTGATTTAACCTTTCACATATGATTTTTTTATTGATTATTTTGTTCCTTAAAATCTGTCTAAATGTGTTAAGCTATTTATTACGAAAAAAAAATCACAAAACTAATTATTTTTTTAAATTATGACCTAATTATTATTATAATCATTTTATATTCTAATGTCTTAATTTCTGTTGTGTAGGTTTAACAACACAAAAATAAAAAATAAATCTTTATTAATTAATATGGACTGAAATATATACAGTATATTCCGATTATAAAGATTTTATTTATCAATTAACTTCTATTAACTAAATCAAATCAACATTTGTTGTGTGTGAGCACACTACAGCAAAAGAGAAATAACTGGCTTAAAACCGTTTTTGGTTGGTGAAAATACTAATGGCCGAAGACTTTTGCACAGTACTGTATACACACATACTGTATATATATATAATTATAAACAACTGGACAATATTTAGATCACATCTGACAGAAAAAATGCTGTAATGGATTATTAAATGATTCAAATGTACAAAAAAATAATTAGTTTTGTTTAGTCTAAATGGATGGTTTAGCCACAAATAAAAATACTGTCATCAGGTTTGTTGTTCCACATCTGCATGAACTCTCTTTCTTCTGGGAGCCATAAAAGACCCTGACTTTACCATTGACTTGCATTCTCAAAACCTCTTCTTTTATGTCCCACAGAAGACTGAAAGTCACGCAGAAACTAGCTTGATTCACACAGCTGTGCTGTAGCAGTATTTCAGATATTCCTGCATCATTACTGAAAAGCATACATATGTGGCAAACACGTACAAATGAGGATGCGGCTGGTTTAACTCTCGCAGCATCTAAATATAATGCATTAAATGTCCAGCACAGGTAGACATGAGGTGGTTTTGAAGGGATCATCTCAGGGTTTCATCATTCTGACTGTATAGGATTCTGGCTTTATCTGCTGCCAGGACTCAGAGAAATGTCTTCTATTGAATTTAACGGCAGTTTGAAAACCAGCTTCGGTGCATCTCTGCCACAATCCTGTATTATGTTCACCAATTGTATTATTTTTTTGAAGTCTGATTCCAAGCTGTGTGTGCTATATGAAGGCGAGAAATTATCGTATCACCTCTTCTTTTGCCACAAACTCTTCTCACTTCTTCTCCCTATACTTCCTTATGTCTTCCCTTTCTTTCCTGTATCTGCTTTTTCATTTACCCCTTAGTTCCTGCTCTAAAATGTATTCATGAGTACTTTAAAGTCTTATTTACAACCTCACTGCTTCATTTCTCTCATCCGCCGCACGGGCCAAACCCTTGCTGCTGAATACTAAAGAGGTCTGAAGTGTTTCTATAGGAATACCCTGTCTGGAGTCAGACTTCCCATGTTAAAGTTTGCCACGTTTAGCAGATGAAGCGCACTGAAGGACTAGCTGAAATGCAGTCAGTTCTGAATGAAGATTTAGAAGTTCTTTGACCTATTTTCTACTGAAGCGTATATATTAGACAGACATATTAGTGATGGTCATTTGAGTGCAGGCTAACTGCATCAGGAATAGCCTGGAGGCAGAGCTGACAGTGACACTAGCGCTCGGACAAATGCTGGAATCAGACATTCACATTCTTTGTGCCTCACTGTTCACAATCCATCAGAAACTAGTCCTTTTACTGATATACTCACCTGATTTCCAAAGACATTTCTCCCATTTCCACTGGTGACATTTCTCCCATTTCCACATCACTCCGGTATCACATACTTGCAACATGTGTGTGTGTGTGCGTGTGTGCGCGTGTGTGCGTGTATGTGAGTGTGTGTGTGTGTGTGTGTGTGTGTGAGTGTATGTGAGT